GTATTACGATCTAAATATTGTTAAGGTTATTTCAATATTTCAAATTACTACACATACAATCTATATTTCATCCAATAACCTAGACAAAAGTATGCTAATGTCGGCTTCAGGAAGCGGCAAGATTATCTGCATTTACTGTTTTATATATGTATAAATATAAAACGTTCACATAATATATTGCATAAAATATAAAAAGTTTTATATAAACTAGAGTAAATTCTCCCCAATTCAGCTTGGAAATAAAAATGGGCAACTTGGGAAGAGGGGATACGATTTTTCGGGTCTCGCGGCTCGTTTCAATAGTTGTTGATAATCAGCGATTATAAAAACGAGCCCTTCCCTCGCATTCCTTCTCCTCAAGTTGTTCATTTTTGTTTCCAAGCTGAGGGAGAATTTAGTATATTACGTTTCAACCATTCCTGCGCTTTTCAACGCTTCCAATTTTCAGTATATTACCTTCTAAATATTCTTTCGTTTTTTGAAACTGATGCAGCATGAACTAAGGAATCGCATGCAGCGAATTATAGCGAACAAGGAAGAGTAACACTGTATGTAGCTTTCCGAAGAACACTCAATGTCCAACAGAAGTCTTCTACAACAAGAACAACTGCATCGAAGTTTACTAGCATCAGAACTAATCAACCACCGAATAAAATAGTCAGCCAGTCGGTCAGCTTTGCTGCCAAAATTCCTTGATCAAATCAGCCGCCTTCTCGCCGATCATGTAGATCCCCGCATTGATATGCCCGGTTGGCATAGTCGGCATGATGCTCGCATCAGCGACCCTCAATCCCTTCACTCCGTATACCCTAAGCTTCGGATCCACAACAGCGTAAGCATCGTCCTCGGGCCCCATCTTGACGGTGCCGATCTCATGATTCATCATCGTCGGCAGTTGCTTAATGGCGCACCGCCAATAGTCATCGCTGGCAAACTCAAATTCCTCGCAGCCAGGGATTTTGATGTCGTGCAGTTTAGTCCCGTACTTCTGGAACGGGGCCGTTTTCGAGACGTTGATGGCGTGCTTGATGCCCTCCAGGATGATCTCCACGTCTGCCGGGTGCGTGAAGAAGTTCGGATCCATCCTCGGCGGCTCGAATGGGTCCTTGGACATCAGGGTCAGCCGGCCGACGCTCCTGGGGTTCTGCATGGTGGGCCAGATGGACCAGGCGTCCTGACCTTCGATCGGCTTGTAAACGGTGTTGTAGACCTCGTCCGAGAGCCTGTAATTTTTCTTCAAGATCGTCCCTCCGTCGGAGTGCACCGACCCACCGACGAACAACAGTTCAACGTCCGGCCTGCTGTCGGGAGCATATTTGGTCCTGATGAAGGCCAGAGCCTCTGCTCCACCCAGCACCGACATCAAGCCGCTCCTGTTCAGGAAGTACTCCACGAAGACGCTGGGTCTGGCCAGCCTGCTCTGCATCAAGGACACCGGTTGATTCACCAGGAACGTCAGCCCTAGGAATCCTACATGCTCGTACATGTTGTAGCCCACTTTCAGATCCTTCACTACCTTGATACCTAGCTCCTCCAAATGATCTCGAGGACCCACGCCAGACAGCATCAGCAATTTCGCTGAGTCGAGCGTTCCCGCGGACAGGATCACTTCTTTCGAACAGAGGACACGTTTGCGTTGGTGGTTCTGGACGAACTCGACGCCGTACGCGTGGTTCTTTTCGTCGATCAGAATTTTAGTGACCCTCGCATAGGTTACTATGTTCAGGTTCGGTCGGTTCACTCGCAGGTACGCCTTTGAGGCGCTGCATCGGGTGCCTTTGTCCAAGTTTGCTTGGATGTAGGAGAAGCCGATCTGGTCCTCGCCGTTATAGTCCACGATTTTGTAGCCCAACTCGCGACCGGCTTTCAGGAATGCTTTCGATAGCTCCGTGTGGTAGGGCACGTATTCCACGCAGACGTAGCCTTTGTCGCCGTGGTAGGAGGAGTTTCTGATGCCTGCAGAAATAATGTTTCATTGTTTTCGTTGCGAGCTGTTGCACTGTATTCGTGCTGTAGTGAATTTTGACAGAGCTGTGGCCTAATGCTAACGTCCTCAAGAACTCGTCATTAGATGTCCTTGTTATGATTATGATTTTCCATATGACTTTCAGAACTTTGAGAAAATTATCCCTTTTAACACGTTGACTGCCACGCGTATTTACAACAAAATCTCCTACAGGCCACCCGTGCCGCTATAGGAAGCGTGCGCTGTTAATTCATATCTGTTTCTGTTCCTGCATGAACAGTTGGAATCTTTGCCGAGTACCGAATGGTCTGTCTCTTATACACATCTCCCGGAAGGAGAAGCATAAATAAAATTACATCGTCAGATTCTGATTTGGATACTGATAAATATAATCTTAGTGATAATGAATGTTATGAAGATACTATTGACGAGATTTTACCTGTCTCTTATACACATCTCCCGGAAGGAGAAGCATAAATAAAATTACATCGTCAGATTCTGATTTGGATACTGATAAATATAATCTTAGTGATAATGAATGTTATGAAGATACTATTGACGAGATTTTACCTGTCTCTTATACACATCTCCCGGAAGGAGAAGCATAAATAAAATTACATCGTCAGATTCTGATTTGGATACTGATAAATATAATCTTAGTGATAATGAATGTTATGAAGATACTATTGACGAGATTTTACCTGTCTCTTATACACATCTCCCGGAAGGAGAAGCATAAATAAAATTACATCGTCAGATTCTGATTTGGATACTGATAAATATAATCTTAGTGATAATGAATGTTATGAAGATACTATTGACGAGATTTTACCTGTCTCTTATACACATCTCCCGGAAGGAGAAGCATAAATAAAATTACATCGTCAGATTCTGATTTGGATACTGATAAATATAATCTTAGTGATAATGAATGTTATGAAGATACTATTGACGAGATTTTACCTGTCTCTTATACACATCTCCCGGAAGGAGAAGCATAAATAAAATTACATCGTCAGATTCTGATTTGGATACTGATAAATATAATCTTAGTGATAATGAATGTTATGAAGATACTATTGACGAGATTTTACCTGTCTCTTATACACATCTCCCGGAAGGAGAAGCATAAATAAAATTACATCGTCAGATTCTGATTTGGATACTGATAAATATAATCTTAGTGATAATGAATGTTATGAAGATACTATTGACGAGATTTTACCTGTCTCTTATACACATCTCCCGGAAGGAGAAGCATAAATAAAATTACATCGTCAGATTCTGATTTGGATACTGATAAATATAATCTTAGTGATAATGAATGTTATGAAGATACTATTGACGAGATTTTACCTGTCTCTTATACACATCTCCCGGAAGGAGAAGCATAAATAAAATTACATCGTCAGATTCTGATTTGGATACTGATAAATATAATCTTAGTGATAATGAATGTTATGAAGATACTATTGACGAGATTTTACCTGTCTCTTATACACATCTCCCGGAAGGAGAAGCATAAATAAAATTACATCGTCAGATTCTGATTTGGATACTGATAAATATAATCTTAGTGATAATGAATGTTATGAAGATACTATTGACGAGATTTTACCTGTCTCTTATACACATCTAGATGTGTATAAGAGACAGGTAGAATATTTGTCGAAATATTTTCGGAAATCCTTTGTAAGTAGTCAAATCAGCGTCACCCGAATTACGGGTGACGTGGCCTGATGAGAACTTTTACTGTACTTTACGCGGCAGTCAACGTGTTAAAGTTACCGTGTGAGGTATAGGTAGATGTTAAGGGGAATAAATGCTGCTTACTGGCTGTACGTAGTTTAGATTCTGACAAAACATTTTCACTGCTTCATTTTAGTATAAAATATAACGATACTCGTACAAAGGAGTATCATATTTGGTTTCTTTTTTTAAAATAAGTGCAACAACATAAATTGTGGAAGCCGAAAAAAATATTTACACTCTCTTTACAAAATTTAATGTTTTTTATAGTATAAAAATCGACTGTTTTAGTCGACTAAAAGTTAAGTTTAATTCTCCCTAATTGACCCTCAGCTTGGAAACAAAAATGGACAATTTGGGAGGAGGTACGATTATTTGAGCTTCCCGGCTCGTTTTTATAGTTACCGATTGTAACTATACTCTCCATAACTATCCTCTTTCCAAATTGTCCATTTTTGTTTCCAAGCTAAAGTCAGTTGGGGAGAATTTACCGTATTAAATTAATGTATTAATTTTACTGCAATAAAATTATGACCTTTTATGACCATTTAGCGATAGGTACCGTTTGCAGCAAATACATAACTAGCACCTTTTAATAATTGTTTGAGAACTTACGTTAAACTAACGGGGTATTTAAATGACTTTATACTATTAAAATAATATCAAACGTTGTATTCAAATTTTGTTGTTTATAATTCCTAAAATAAACATCAGTGACGGTATTTCGGACAACCTCAGTAATTGGAACCCTCACCCTATGTGCAAGTCAATATCGATTTCTTTGAAAAGTCTAAAAAGAATGATCATGAATAAAGCTATTTTCTTGCATCGTATTCGTTTCTTAATACTGGCCAAATTCCATATAAAACATTTTTTGTAACTTCACGATTTGTGGTTCTTGAAACCAAAAAAATTAATATTTCCCAAGATATTTTATACACAATTTCCTATGTTGAATCCTCACGACGCAACGACGCTGTTTTACTTATCGTCAGTAATACTTCCCGCTAAAAAAGTGAAATATTTCATAAAATATTAATTTTTGTTTGTACTGTACATTAATAGCATATATAGTTCTAATTAAACGAAAAGTGCAATTGCACGTTGCAATTGCACTGATGCACTTGTGAATAAGATCGTACCATAGGATAATAAAGCTTGTTAAATAGTGTAATATTGACCTGAACAACTTTTTTCCAAATTCAGCTGGAACAGAGCCACAGCTCTGTCCGGTTACTCGACTCGCCATGCGGAGACCATTATGTCTGAAAGTGAACGGACTAACCTGGCACGTTGAATTTCTCGCTCTTTATGTAATAAGGCAGGATTTCGTTGTAAGACCAGCCCTCGTTACCCAGTGCGGCCCAGATATCATAATCGAGCCTGTTCCCCCTCGTATGGATCATGTAATTGAGCGTGCTGGTGCCACCTAGAACTTTGCCCCGCGGCCAAGAGCACTGATGGTTGATCATCCCCAGACAGGCGTTCTTCTGCGGCTCCACGTTATAGCCCCAGTTGTAGTTCGACTGTTGAAAGTACGAGACGAGGATCGGGATCTGGTGAAGCAGCGTCTCTGTACCCCCCGCCTCCAGGAGCAGCACGTTCCATTTCTTGTTCTCCGAGAGACGATTGGCAAGAACAGAGCCAGCGGAACCGGCGCCTACTATGATGAAGTCGTATATCTTGTTGTTAGGATCGGCTCTGTTCAAGGCCTCTGCCGGCGGCCCGAAGCTCTTCAGCGTTTCTAGCAGCGTTTGGGATTCCGTCGGCGTGGCGAGGAACGACGCCAGAAGTAGCACACTGTACACTAGATGTGCCATATTTCTCTGGAATAATGAGTTTTTAGAGTAATTTTATCGTAGCAATCAGCTATGAATTTGTATCTTAAATAATGGTTATTCGATGTCGTTCAGTATTCAAGAGAGCTAACGTCAACAAGTACCGTAATTTCTCCCGGAAATGTTCAGAGGTCGGAATTGAAACCGGCAGATCTGAGAATACTAAGTTGCGATTCTTCGAGACGGTAAAACAAGGCAGCGACCAGCATGCCGATGTGTATTAATATGAATATGTACATAGATACATAATAATACTACAGGGTGTCCCAAAAATGTCTCGCAATCCGAAAGTGGCGGATTCCTCAGGTCATTCGAAGCAATTTCCTTCCTTTACAAAAATTTTCTCTGAGGCACCGTTAACGAGTTATTAACGAAAAACAGTGACCAATGAGAGGCGAGCTCAGTTGGCGCGAGGCGACCGAGCCAATGAGCGGAACTGGGCTTCGTGCGCTGGTTGGCTGGGCCGCCTCGCGTCAGCCGTATTCGATTCTTATTGGTCACTGTTTTTCGTTAATAATTCGTTAACGGTGCCTCGGAGAAAATTTTTGTAAAGGAAGAAGCTGCTTCGAATGATCTTTGGAACCCGCCATTTCCGGATTGCGAGACATTTTTGGGACACCCTGTAGAATAAAAACGACGACTTAATTTTTGTATTTGTAATTTTTTGCCAGATTCGAAAGCAATTTGGAATTCACATGGCATGGTTCGAAGACAATTCGGAGGCCACATGGCACGATTCATAAGCTCCGCGGTTTTTCTTATCTGACTCACACCTAAACGGACCATTTCGTGTCGTCTTCCGGGAATTCGCGTCGCGTGCCGCATTACACGTTTACATCGCACACCCTTAGTATCAACATAGCAACAAATTACTATATATAATTATATATGTATAGGCGTAGGACTATCACAGGGAAATTCACAGCAACCCGAAATTTGGCATTTCCGGGAGAAAGTACTGTATTCTGTCCTCCTTAATTTCAAATTGTCCTAATTAACATTTCTCATCTCCTAAAGAAATGAAGTTTTAATTTAATAAAAACATTTTTAAATAAGTGAAAACAAATTAAATTACATTTGGTGCTCTATGGAGAATATACAGAGTGTCCAAAAGTTGCTCAAAATCGGTGAATAAGAGGTTCCCGAAGCCATTTTTGAAGTAACTTTTTCCTTTTAGCGCCAATGTAATTCGCGGCTTTATTTACGAGTTATTAACGAAAAACACTAACCAATGAGAGGCGAGATCAGTTGGCGCGAGGCGGCCTGGCCAATGAGCGGAACTCAGCTTCGTCCGGTGCTTGACTCAGTCGCCTTGCACCAGCTAACTCTGCATTGGCCTACTTAAATTACATTCAATTACATAAATTAAGGTATGGAAATTAAATTACATACATTAAAGTATGGAAATTGAATTATATGATATAAGTATATTATACAACTGTGGACTAAAGGCTAACGATTAACCTTAGTCGAAAGCTGATTACATTTGCAATTATTTCTAAATGCTTAAAATCCACAGTCGATTTGTGAACGATAAATGCATCAAAATCTCCACATACTATTCTGATTTTTAAACTAATTTATAAACTATTTTTGAAATTTTTATGTTCGGAAATAAAATAAGAACGAATATGCATAATTGATTGTTCTCTGCTTGCAACCAAAGAAACAATTAGATTATGTAACAATACTAATTAGAACTGCTACTAAAAGATGCTAAACAAATTACTACTTTCTGTTTTCCACTGACAGGAGTAACTTTGTCAATTTTCATTAATATTCATTAGTGGCATACGCAAACATTTCAAGCACAAGACAACGTCTATATCAATAAAATATAATGGCATCTTTATTTTGTTAAACAAGATTTATTTCTACCACGAGGAATTTCTTCATTAAATTAATTATCAGTAAACGTGTAATAGTCTTTCTAAACTCAAAAATTAATAATCGAGAATTTTTTTAATAAGTTGTTCAACAATTGTATAACAATTCCATTAGCAAACAAAACTCTCTCTATTTATCATTTAAAAGAAAATTAGAGAACTTTCCTGAAATATTGCATAGAAAATCTATGAATTTGATGCTGACAGCTGAATTAGTAAATATAAAATCTACAATGCGCATAAAGATCCCCACCCTACGATTCATTTACAAAGTACATACAAGCGTGAGTCGTTTAATTTTTTCATCTTAATGTTTCTTGTAAACTACGTTATGTATAAAAAAATATTTCAAACAAAACTTGTTTGGTATACAGAGGAGCATACATGGTAATAATTAATTTTTTGCCATTGTCCTTTATCAATATATGAGGTCACCTTGAGTTTTTAACCATAATGTGCAACATTTAATCATGCCATTGTATACAACAATAAAAAAATGATTATGAAATATTATATATTTTATATAATTATATGAAATATATTATATAATATTATAATATATTCTATAATGAATATTATAGTAAATTATTATGTGATATTATACATTATATAATATATAATATATTTATATAATTACATAAAATATATAATCTATTATAATCATAACCTTACATTTCATACAAATACATACATCAAACTGCAACATAATATAGTATCTGAATTTAAAATAGAAAATAGGCGAATCGTTTCAAAATTATGGCCGCACATTCGAAGAATTTATAACTTTCTTGTAACAATATTTCTCGTTAAATGTTGCTAGAGTATTCATTGCATTAATTGAAATGTTACAACTATGGACGAGTGTTCTCGAAATAAATGCTAGTAGCTACTGACAATGCAATGCTAATAATGAAATGCTTGTGTTATGCGTTAGGGTACGTTTATGTCGAAGCTACGGTAAACAATGAAAGCGATAATGAGAGAGAGAAGCGCATAAATACATCCTATTGTTTTATAATGAGAGCATTTACGTTGGAACAGCGGGCTGAGAAACACGTACTTACATAGTTTTCGACGTACCATATTACTGAACTCGGAGATAACAATCGTGTTTGTAAAACCTTTCAACGTGACAAATGACAAGTTAAGTTTCGTGTTTACTGTCAATTTCTTTTACTAACGCTTTGCACTCGAATGACTACTACAAGGCGCCATTAAAAAAAAAATTGTTATATCACGTTGCAAAAAATCATTTTAATACTATCATAAATTTATTTATATTTTTTAAAAAAACTGTTGAAAGTATAATTGCTGCACCAGTCACAAAATTCAATTTCGTATTTGTAAAATGCACTTGTTTATACAAAATGGAAATGCTACAGGTCAGGGAGAACTATTCTGGATTTCGAGTTAAAATGGCTCGAGTTAAAATTACTATATTGTATATGTAACGTTCTGCATATTCTCATTTTCACTTGTTTTTTTTACAAAAATTAGAATGAACGAAAAATTTCCTTCGTGGACTAAAAGCTTACTCGTTGCAGAAATAAAATAAAATTGCTATTAGACCTTTTTATCAATCATCGGAAGGTGGATCATTTTCACAGCTCTGCAATTGACGATGTGCATGATTCTCAGCTTTATTCATCTATTTTTCCAAACATATTTTTGACAATACTTGATGTAGTTGTTCCTACTCTAACAGCCACTTATTTAATTGAATTGTCAAAAATTGACTAATTTTTAAAATTTGTATTATAAGCTCAGATAAGAAGTGAAAAGACGAGTTTTTCTACGTTTTTTCTATTTCAAGTAATAGCAAAATTTAACAAACAAAAGTATTTTAGTCATTGTACAGTAAACTAACTAATCCCTCTGACATTCACAAAAATATTCAAGTCATTTAGAGCAGTTTGAGAAAGCTATACCGTTTTAAAAGCTGCGTGGACACTTTCGCTTCTTGCTTTATCTATTATTATCAATGAAAAAACATAACGTACAAATGTGACAATATTTGTGACGAAAAGGATTTTTGTTCGTCAATTTGACAAACGTGAATTTCGCGAGCTGAAGAAGACATGTCGCTTCTGTTTTTGTCGATAAAATACCTAGAAATAGCAGAAAGCTGTAACCTAAACTTCGGAAAAATTTTAAATGGATGATGATGCTGATACGTTTATTTTAAGTGCAAGATTCTTTACACTGCCATTGCAAGCGAGTGAGAACTTGAACAATGTGCGACGGTAAAGGACAGAACGAAAACACTAAATGAACAGTCTGCCCGGTGCGTCGTCTCGTTTTTTTGTGAAACATGCGAAGACGTGTAACATTGAGCAAATATGTTTCTCCTTATTTTCAGTCAAATATTTAACCCTATGCAGTCGAAGCCATTTTAACTCGAAATCCAGAATAGTTTTCCCTGACCTGTAGCATTTCCATTTTGTATAAACAAGTGCATTTTACAAATACGAAATTGAATTTTGTGACTGGTGCAGCAATTATACTTTCAACAGTTTTTTTAAAAAATATAAATAAATTTATGATAGTATTAAAATGATTTTGAAACGTGATATAACAATTTTTAATGGCGCCTTGTAGTAGTCATTCGAGTGCAAAGGGTTAATAAAAGAAATTGTTTGCCTCTTATTACATTGACTTTTTAACGACAGCGTCAACGTGACACACGGAGGGCAACATTGACTCGAAAAAGACGAGGGCGGAAAGAAAATTAAACGACTAAAGTAGCTATTAACGCAATTCCGTTCCGATAGAAGCTCTTACTACCACAGTTCCACCATAAACGTACCCTCATGACATTCGCCGCAGCTCCACCATAAACGTAACTTGAGAGCCATATTCCTATACGTTCCGGTCGATTTCGTAATGGGTGATTATTGTGATCGAATTGTTGTTACCATTATCCTGAGCACGGTTATCGAGATATAATGACTTCCGTCGCTGTGAAGAGGCTCGCTCGGTGATGTTACGGGGCCACCGAAACTGCTTCTGGAGACCCAGTGTCCACTTTCCACTTCGAGATCCACCAGAGAAATGCGCTTTCTCGTCGTCGCGTTCACGTAATACTTACCTGGGGACTTGAGTAATGCCGACTCGGACTCCGCGCGATCCCTTCTCGCGTTCCATGTAACCCCGGCGTGCGTCTGTTTTATCTCACGCACGTTTCACTTTTATGCCCCGCGCATTGTACGCGCTAGCTCCCTTGCAAGCCTACTCGGTACACCAGCTGACAGAAGTTTTAGGATTTTTGGAATGCGCACGTGAAATTGGCCGAATGCGAGCGATTTCGAACGTTCTAAAGTTGCGATGGAGAGACAGGGAACAATTAGCGGGCCGACTGCCACAGTCGTGTGCTGTGAAGCATAACTATAGCAACACCGATTATAGTAACATTTTTCAGAATTTTGAACTTTAAAAGAATATATAAATGATTTCAATAACATCTTGAATAGAACGTTTCTTTTTCTTTTTTTTATGGGAATGTTATCGTGACTTATTTAAATAGAATTTTACTGTATATGGTATGGGCAATACCGTCGAAGGTCAACTGCAAGATATTTTACGATATAAATATTCTAATAAAATTAAAATATTTTGCTTGTTCATCTAAAAAATATATTAACATGGAACTATGCCGCCATTTTTTATAAACGTTTCATCTAAATTGCAATGTCTTTGTTGTCTCCCTAAATCTCCATTAATTCTGACGATAAAATTTAATATAAATGTGTGATATGTTGGGTTGTTCTTATCTCTATGCCTGGGCCTATTTTGACACAGAATTGGTTTTTAATCATCCTGACAATTTCGGCCCGACTATTTGTTGTCACCTTTGTAAACGTTTCATCTAAATTATAATGTGTTATATAAATAACAATAATATATATGTTGCCACAATATTTGAAATAATTCGACGATACTTAACACCAAGGCCTCGCATGTAAAGATAAGCAAATGAAAGTAAATGTTGCAGAAGGTGGAATGCAGTTCGAACATTTAATTTAATTACATACACATTTCTAATATGATTGTTCTCAATTTAGTTTTATATAAATTTTTCTTTTGTTTTATGTGTTAGAAGGTCGAAATTGTATAAATGAACATTTGTTATGTTTACGTTCATTTGTTTATGTTTACATGCGTGGCCTCGGTGTTACGTATCACCAAATTATTTATATTGTCGACCCATGGAAATTTTTTCTCCAATGTCATCTGAAAGTCATCATGTAAGCAGGTCGTTGAATTCGTCTCGACGACGCCTACAATATTGTGAAGTTAAAATCACCCAGCTTCATTTAACAATATAACGGTGACCTTGATGTTTGCATCGAAAATCAATTTGTTTTTAAATTTAAACAATTGCAATTTTTTTGTCGGTTAAATACTAATTAACTTTGATAGGAAACATTTTTTTGTCAGACCATCGGAAGGGACTGAAAAATCGTGAAAAATTTGCGACTCCCCCTGTATATTATATAATTCTATATTGTAGATTAGAATTAATCAAGATTAATATTAAAGTTTGCTTCCTGTGTCAATAATTAATATTTTAGTATCGTACATCATACGATATTCAGTTTCATCAAACTAGTTTTTTAGTGTAGTTTTCGTACTTGTATTTAGACCAGTTTGAAACTGTAAAAATATTTAAACAATTTAGGAAGACTATTGCATTACTGTCATTAAGATTGATTAAGAAAAGAAGCAAATGGTGACAATTTTATAGAAACAAATAGACAATTTTTACTTGTCATAAAAATCCGCTGTCTAGTTACAAGACAGTATCAAATACAATATCGACTACATTATTGCTAACCTGATTCTAATTGTTCATTCTCAATAATTATAATTATATCGAATAACACTGTTCAATATTAAAATTTGTAATTCGGTATAGTTTCGTCTTTTTTGTATGCTAGACCCAAATCTGTAAATACTGTTCTATTCTCATATTTAGATTATAACCGCAGAAATAACCGTACCTTACATGTCTTTAACTATTGTTTAAACATGTTTCACTGCTTTTAATAGAACATTAAACAAAATTGACAGAATTTTGCTTTAACTGTTGTGTAAACTGTTGTGCTGAAAAAACTGTAACTGTTTACGAGTAACTGATACTATTGAAGCAGAAAACATCATTAATAATAACAATTTCAAGGATTTTCTATGACTAAAGAATTCGTAAGCTAAATTCTATATATTGTGTTTCATGTATTGTGCATTATACAGTGGCCAGACATCAATTTCTAAGGGTGCATTCTATTGTCTTAATATAATACTTATGGACAGCATTGTACCTGCACGATCTGTTCGAGCACGGCGAATAAATGTGCCATTATTTTTACTAAAGAGCTGTCTTGTTCTTCGCGCATCTTGACAACTGTGTTGTGCAGACAGCGAGGCAAAGCGGTTCAATGATCTCTGCGTTCTAAAGTAGAACCTCGATTATCCAAATGCAATTTTATTCAGATCACGATCACGTGTTTACATGTCTAGCATGCACGGTATTGTAAACATTAAATGCATAAACAAATTTACATTCCGTTCATTGTATCTGAAATTGTGAATTGTGATACATTCTTGCAATAATTACAATGTTACAATTAATTAATTAATTTTGAAATACAAAAAGGAAACGTCTAAACCAGAAGCACTGCAAACAAACTTTCCAGTTGTTTGTGGCATCTGAAATTGCAAACAAGCAATTTTTGTATTTAAGCAACGAAAGATTAATAGAAGCTGTGTTTGCCACCTAAAATTGCAAACAAGTAATTTACTTATATAATCAGCAAAAAAATAATATAGATTTTCCTTATTAGGGAAAATTTTTATAAATATTTTAAGAAATTCTTGCTAAAATAAAGATATTAGTAATAACAATATCCTTTTTAAATATAAAACAATCTTTGACAAATTAAACCGTGACTGAACCAAAAACTATTGTACAGTTATTAATCTTTTGCTATACAGTTTCCTTTACAGGTATAGTGATTAGAACTTAGCATACTTTTGCCATTCATAATTTCCTAGAAGAAAAATGAATTTTGGTAACTATATATCGATGACAGAATTTTAAATTCTAATAAATTTAAAACTTTATTTTATTAGTCAGCGTATTTTATTTAATAACTACATTGTGGATTTTACAACTGTATAGCCATTGATTTTGTTCTGTAATTATTTCAATGAGTTAAAAATAACGTAATGGCATTTTCAAATTCTTCGAATGTTTTCACGGTTTTGTATTTTATTCTTTCGAGAGTCTTCGTTGCGAATCAGTTCTAATATTGTAGGGAAAGGATTATTACTGTTAAAAAAATGGAAATATAATTACATAGAGATAGATCTATCAGATTTAATAGGAATAAATTACAAACTCATTCGGATCTCAGACTTTTTCCGGCTCTAATGCTTTATTCGTATTCTGGGAGTATTTTTTTGGAAAAGTTGAAAGGTGATGACTAGGCTTTCTTCGTTCAACAATTCTTGATCCACTTGATACTGGATCTTTGTTACTATTTCCATCGCATATATCAAGTCGTCAAGGATGAAATTTGTAGAATAGAAGGTAAAGTTGGTTGATAACTTACAAATATAAGGAATTATTTTATTCATCAAAGTATGCACCCATATTGTCTATACATTTTTGCCATTTAAGTGACAGTTGTTCAGGCCGGTGGTATAAAATCCTGGCGGACGGGAGTCAATCAATTCCTGGATGATCAATTTTACGGCATTGTCGGAATTAAATTGCTCTCCTATTAAAAAGTTGTCCAATTTGCGGACGAAGTGATAGTCAATGGGGGCTAGGTCTGGTGAGTATGGAGGATGATGAAGTTCCAACTCCAATTCCTGTAGCTTTGCCACAGTCATTCGTGCAATCTAGGCTGTTCGTTGACCAATCAATTTATGTTCGTTGACCAATCTAGGCTGTTTTTCTTTAAGTTTTTGTATCATTTTGTCCAGTTGGTTGCAGTATATTTCTGCTACGATCGATGATCCAGTTTCGCACCTGTGCTAGACAGGTGTGATAACCTTTGATTCTGGACGACCGCGTGGCTCATTTGTGAGGTCAAAGTTACCTGTACGAAACTTGGCGAACCAATTTGATACTGTCTGCTGCGTGGTAACATTAGAGCCAAATATAATATTAATATTTCGCGCGGTCTGCGATGCCGTTCCAACTCATACTACACAATATGTAGTGCGAATTTCCGACCGTTCCATTGTCAACGAAATTAATTTTTAAAGAAGTTTTCAATATTTTTTAGAGCTTACAATGATTTCTTTAAACAGACGAGATGTGCAACTTTCCAGCAAAAAAAAAAGAGAACGGTAAAATATTAAGACAATGTCAAATAATAAGCTGTTAAAGTTGACAACATTATTAACTATAAATTTCATCCTTGCCAACCTAATACCTGACTTGAATATTTTTTTCAATATTTTCGCGTAAAATTCTGCTTATGCAACTGACAGTTACATTTCTTATTGAACACCTGCTCCGTTATTCCACTTTTATTATATAAGAATTGAAAGCATCGTAAATATAGTTCGAAAAGATTGGAAGCTGGAATTTATAAATTGTAAATCACACGATTTTTACACGAAATAAAAATTATAAATTCCGCTAGATAAAATGTAAATTTTTAATTCCGTTACATAAACTGTAAATTATAAAATAAACTGCGTAAACTGTGAATTA